TATTCTTTAAACTCACAATTAATTTACATATACTGTATAAACATGTGTACAGAATATATAAACATGTGGCTAAATAGTGGTGGCGAACCTTTTAGAGCTTTCGATGATAACACACAGCCAGTCGCGGCATGCGTGCCATAGGTTCGCCACCCATGGCCTCGGAGCATCCCCATGGTCTGTGTGGCATCTTCCACCGTGCTGTAGCAGTTACGCAGATCACTCTATGGGGACAGCTGACCCAGCAGGAGCAGGCAGTTTCTCGGTAAGTGGTATTTAAGACTAGTGTTGAAGACGAAGCATGGGAAAGTGAATCATGGGGGTTTCTTCAGTGGTCCAAATTTCACGTTTGGGTTGAATGTTCAGCTTTTTTGTGGTCCTTTTCCAAGCAGACTGACTTTTTCTCTCTATCCTGTTGTTTCACCTATTTATTGAGGATATACATACATATCAGTTTCTAAAATTGGATTCGTCTACTGCATGCTTAAATCAGTGGATCTGAAGTGTTTTCTTTGCTGTTTATTCGGTAGATGAAAGTGACGGTTTTACTGGCCAGTTCTGTATAAATTCCTCTCAAGAAAATGCTTCTCAGGATGGGGCTGATGAGTTCTGTTTTCTTTCTTCTGTGTTCGCTATGCACGTGCACTGCTTCAGCCAGCTGTTTATTGCACCCTGCCAAGCGTCAGGCACAGAAGGAAGCTGAACTTTACAGATCCATTCATCTGCAGGCGAGCGGGGACTAAGGCATCTTGATTTTGTAACAGTTCAGCTGAGGGTAGGGAAGGCATATTTTAGCCGTGCCCAGGGTTGATGTAAAGGAGTAATTCTGGATTGTTGGTTGGTTTATGAGAAAAAAAATAAAAGAAATTTTACTATGGATTCTGCTACTATTGCACTCCCTTAGACTATCCTTGAGGTTTACTTATTTGCTTCTGGCAGGTCAATCAAAAGTTCGACTGAGGAAATGCTTCACTTTATTTTATGCCAAAGTGCTATTTATGCCCCTTACTCACTCCTAGCATTTTCTTTTTTTCTTATCCTGACTTTATTTTTCCTTCATAACTTTTAGCTTCACCTGCCACGTTATATATTTTTTAAATAATTAGTATCACTTTATTTTATGCCGGAGAAATTAGACTGCTGGGGCGGGCCCTGCCCCTGTGCTTGCCGTGTAGCTCGGTGTCCGGCTCTGGAGCCAGGGGTTTCAGATCAGGGATTCTAGAATTTTTAGACTGGGTAGGGACCTTTCCTTTGTTCACTTGGAAAGGACTGGGGGGACTATCCCTCTTTAAGGGAAATAAGGTTGTATTTAAACGAGCTACACCCATAAATAATAATTAATAGGGATATTTAATAAAATGCCCCAGCCAGGTATGGCGGTGCATGCGTGTAATCCCAGCACTCAGGAGGCTGAGGCAGGAGGATTGTTGCGAGTTCAAGACCAGCCTGGGCTACAAAGTGAGTTCAAGGCCAGCCTGAACTGTCTCAAAAAGACAAAAAAAAATAAAAATTAAAAAATAAAATGCACCGAGTGTTGATTTCACTCTTCAAAGCTCCGTTCGGATCTAAGCAGCTGAGATCAAGGGATAATGAGTTGGTGCACGCTGTTACCGTCTTCCCTGGTGGGCTCCTATCGCCCCTTGCCACATCTCCATAGTGACTGGCTGATTCCAGGGCCTCTACCTAGTTTTCCTGCTTCTGCCTTTGACCCTCTGTTGTCCACTCACCATAGCACCTAAGCGGCTCCTCTAAAGTCCAGGCACATACTGCCTATCCTGTGGCTCCCTTCTCTCTTGGTAGCATTAACACACCCTCCTCGTGACCTCAAGACCAGTATGATGAGATTTATTGCTGCTTCTGGACCTCATCACTTACCACTCCCCCCAATATGTGCCCTCCATATCGCCCCTCACCCTGTTCTTCTACACTCATACCCCAGGGCCTTTGCACTTGCCATCTCTCCCTATGTGGAAAGCTTTTTTAAGTCAGGTTTTTGTTTTGGTACTGGGAATCGAACTCAGGACCTCACACTTGCCAGGCAGGTGCTATGCTGTTGAGCTATATCCCTGGCCTGGAAAGCTTTTTTAGATGCCATTGTGATTTATGCCTCATTTTCCTTCAGGTACCTATCTGTTCAAATGTTCTTAGTTTTTTTTTTTTCCTATTACTTTATGTAAAATAGCATTTCCATTGATCCCCTTACTCACTCCTTTTCTTTTTTTCTTATCCTGACTTTATTTTTCCTTCATAACTTTTAGCTTCACCTGCCATGTTATATATTTTTTAAATAATTAGTATTTTTCTTCACAGAAAATAATTTCTTTTTTATTTTATTTTACTTGTTGTTAACATATTCTCAACATCTGAGACTTTGCCTGGCAAAGACTATGTCCCTAAAAATCTACTGAATAAATGAACGAGTGGCCAGTTGATTGTTCGTAGCGCATGCTGTCTTCAGAACATTTCTGTGTAGAGGAACTGCATTTACCTTGTCGACAATTCTAAGACTATCATCTTCCTCTGTACAATACTTATATTCTTCTACTTCTTTTTTTTTTTTTTTTTTTTTTTTGGTACTGGGAATTGAACTCACAACCTCCTGCTTGCCAGGCAGGCACTGTGCTGCTGAGCTATATCCCTGGCCCTATTCTTTTACTTTTAAGGAAAACTCATAAGATGAGTGGATACCTTGTGGTATAACTCCAAAGCAAGATAAAGGAAAACAGTTAAAGGCTTTTATGAGCTAATAAAATAGATCTGCCGGGGGATGAAAGGACACGGGAAGCACGAGCCGTACCCGTGATCTCACATACATGCAGACTTGTTAGCACCAGTGCTTGAACATCTGGCTCAGATGGTGCTACAGGAATCTTTCCGGTCGATGGGAGGAATGGAAATTTTCTGGTACGATGAAGAACACTCTGCTCTCACAGCCCCAGTTTCTTTCCATTTAACTCACGTTTATGGTGCACACAGCACCGCTCATGGTACCCGCCATGTGGTTATACAAGGAAAACGTGGTAGGAAGCTGTCAGTCAACACCCACCGCCTGTTTATGCAGGCTCCAGGAAAGGAATATATTCTAGGTGCCACCAGTAGTGGATCACCAGTATATCATTTTTTCTCAGCACTGTAGGAACTAGAAATACACCAGGTTCTCCCTGCTTGTCCTGGGTAGAATTCATCCCATTTTGCCTCCAACGATGCTGGAAGACCCTCCTCTGAAAAGTACCTGTCTTTTGCTTCCCTTTTTCCCTGTGTGTTTAGCTTTTCTTGCTTGCAAAAGCTACACAGTATTTTCATTTAAGATGCCTTTTATTGACTATAAGCTTGAGACAGTGGGAAACTAAGACCCACAAAAAGGACCTGATGATCTCCTTAGTTCAATCATGCTAATAACTTAAAGGAAAGATGTGTTGTTTAAATCTGCAGATAACCCAAAAGGCAGATGGTTCACCCACAGCTAACAGACAGCTGTACCTTGAACATAATGTCTGCTTTGGTGCAGGCAGTTGCAGCAAAATTCCATAGACTAGGTGTCTTGTAAAGCAATAGAAGTTTATTTCTCACAGTTTTGGTGGTAGGAAACCAGAGATCAGGGTGCCAGCATGGTTTGGCCCTGGTGAGGGCAGACTGTGGACTTCTTGGTACCCTCTTCTATTGGAAAGAGAGGGAGAGAGCTCTGAGGTCCCTTTTATAAGGGCACTAATCCCGTGGATGGGGGCTCCATCCTCAGGACCTAAGTACCTCTCAGAGGCCCCACCTTCTAATACCATCACATGGAAGGTTAGGGTTTCAACTCATGCATTTTGGGGTTACATAAGCTTCATTCCACATCAATATCTAAGTCCAACACACCTTACCAACCACCTATGTGTATGTCATTAAAGCCACATGAGTTAACTCCACAGAAGACAGAACAAAGAGATAATCGCGTCTTACCCTGGTTTGGGTGCAATCAGTTGAATGTTTGTTTAGCAGAAGAAACCTTGGATTGGAACAATTGTTAGATTGTCTTCTCTACATTTGCTATTTCTCATTGTTTTGCCTTTGCACACTAGCAGAGGCTGGGCTGTATCTGTGTCTCCGAGGTGTGTTTTCATAGCTGTTGATAACTCCCTGTTTCCCTGTGCTCTCTCTGCCATAGCAGAGCGGCTGCCCTTTCTAGCCAATTCGTGTCCTGTGAAGTCACGTGCTTTGCCAGACTGCTGTTTTAAGTTTTGCTGTGCTCCCCAGTGATGATCTTTCTCCATAATACCACCAGAAGTTGAGGCTAAAACTTAACTGAAATCACCGTCAGACTGTGGAAATAGGCCGTCCCCGCGGGGAAGTACAGGAGTGCCTGGGATGAGAGCCGAGCCAGCTTCTGCTGCCTCGCGAAGAATGTCTGAGAACAGGGATGGTCTGAAGGGAGGGTTATCGCTGTGGGTTGTGCAATGAAGCCTTGATGGATGGACTCCTGGGAAACCGCAGGAAGGCAGAAAATTGCCCTGCAGCCCTGGAGGCTTTGTTTAGTTTGGGAGCTCGTGTTTGACTGAAGGTCTCATGTTGTTGGCAGAAGGGTGACATTTCATTGAGAAGACTTTGAAATGTTACTCTGTGCTGTGTGATGTGGTCTCAAAGAAGCAAGTGTGCTTCTGTGGGAAGGAAAAGACTGGGAGTCATGACCCTGTGCATCATGTGAGGAGGGGAATATCGAAGCTCTGTCTTAGGGCGCCCGTATTTTTTTTTCCGGTACCAGGAATCGAACTCGCAACCTTGTGCTTGCCAGGCGGGTGCTGTGCCACTGAGCTAAATCCCCAGCCCCTAGGATGTCCGTATTAAGGGACACTGATCAGTGAATAGATTTCAGACTTACAGGTGACTTTGGAAGATGTTTCTGGACTGTAAAGTCCTCCTGGGCCTTCCATACTTTTTTTTTTTTTTTTTTGGTCTTTTTGAGACAAGGTTTCACTATGCAGTTCAGGCTGGCCTTGAACTCATGGCGAGCCTCCTGCCTCAGCCTCTTGAGTGCTGGGATTATGCACATTCTTTTATTCTATTTCTCATGTGTTTATTCACTCATATTCTTATTGATGGAGCATCTCCTACACCCACATCATGCTGGTGGTGACAGAACACTCTGGTGAGCAAGCCCTGAAAAATTCTGGCAACCTGCAGTCCAGTGGTGGAGGCACTGTTGATTCATTAGTGATCATAGTAACAACAAATCAAATTAAAAGCGTTGAGGGCAAGAGAACATGTTGCTGTCGGGGTGTTTAAGCTGGACCTGGCTTTACTCTGAAAGGACAAGGAAGCCTTCTCTGGGGAAGGGAAAGCTGAAAGAAGGAAGGGTGTATGTTAGCGAGGTCTAAGGCACAGAAAAACGGTTGTGACGATGGGAACAGCGTGTGCACGGGCGCAGGGGCTGCTCTGATGGCAAATGCGGCAGGTAGGCGGGGACAGTGAGACTGCGGTGACTGACAGGAACCAGGCCAAGCCGAGCCTCCAAGGTCATGCTCAAGAGTTGGGTCTTTAAGAACAGGAAGAAGGTGCCAGGCGATGCTGTTAGACGGCTCTGTGTGGCTTGTGCTTCGAGAACATTCCTCTGGCTGCTGAGTGGTGCAAAGGAGTTAAGGGGCGATGTGGGTGGCGGCCTGCTTGCTTTCCTCCTGAGAGACGGTGGCGCTTCAGAACTCAGCCCGCCACGCCACAGCCGGGTGTGAGAGGCCTGTGTCTCGCTGCGTGTCTGTACCGCTTGGTCGGGGGCGGGCACTCGGTAATACTTCTCTTCTAGGCGCGGTGCAGGAGATTTAGGTTTCAGTTTGAGTTCCGTCACTGCGCAGCCCTCAAAGCTTGCACCTGTCACTTCGCTTCTCTGGGCCTCCGTTTCTCCATGTGTGAAACGACGTGGGTGGACGACGGCCTTTCCAGAGCTCAAGTCGCTGGGTCTGAGATGTTTCTGGCAGCACGCGTGTGCAGGCGGATGATTAGAGGGCACGTAATGCGGAGCGACTCGGAGCTTGCTCATGGGACCGTTGCATGTCCATTTCTCCTCTCCGCTGCTTGGAGACGCGCAGCGAGAGCGCCACTGCCTGCGTCGCTGTTTCCTGTGACGGCAAACACAGGGCTATTCTTCAGTTGGATGCCTTTTAAAACACAGCAGGTTGATTCATCGAAAAACAAAACAAATCCTTCCTAGCGGGCAGGCGTGAAAGCAGGGACGCCTCGGAAGCAGCCTAGGAAGGGGAGCAAGGTAGAGGAGGTCTGGGCTCACAGGGTGCGCTTGACTTGTGAGTCCCGAGTCGGCCGTCGTGACAGACACACTCAGCTAGAGCCACATACATTTTCCGGGGAGAGTGTTGGTCTAACAGGGAGGCCAAGAGAAGGGCAAGGGTATCATCTGCTGGCCAGCCTGGGTCAGCCGCCCGCAGCGGCCTCATCCTGTGTGCTTTTGAGCAAATGCACGCTGGCACGGAGGCTGCCCTGGGGATGAGGCGGGAGGCGATCGTCCTTGGCCTCATAGAATTAAAGCACGAACAGCCCCGCTGACCTTCAGGCCGCAGGCAGCCCGCTTTCTGTGTGCCCCGTCACCAGCAAGATAAACCCACGAAAGCGTTTTGTTCGGCCATCGGCTAAGAGCAGGCATTTGGGGAAGAATCTTGCCACCCTCCTCGAAGCGTTGTTGGCCGGGAGCAGCTGTGCGGCAGGCTGGAGGTTGGAGGAGTGGGCGGAAAGGCGGCTTTCTCGGGGAGTTTTCTGGCACTTTCCGGGGTTCTTTGCACCTCACACTCACAGGTCAGCCTCCCAGCTCTCCCTCCTTGCTCCCGCCTTGCCGGCTGTGCCTCCGGACTGTTCCATTTAAATCCCAAACGGGGGGGGGGGGGGGTAGGTGAGGGGGTCAGGGATCCCCCCCCCCACTGCAAGCTGTGGACAAGACTCCCCCTTTGCCTGTCTTGGTGCAGTCTGTTGCGCTGTGTGGGTTTTGGCGGCCAGCTGGGAAGTAGCAGGTGTAGGTTAATGGAAGTAGATCTGCTTGGCGGTTTGTGGACTGGAGACCTTCAGAGGAGAAGCGGTGAAAAAAAAAAAAAAAAGGTGCAGGTTAGAAGTTTTCAGTGACCTTTAGAAGAGAGAGAGGAGGAGTGTGAGGCACGTTCTCCAGCCGTGGGGGCGAGGGAGGGATTTGCAGGAGCCTCGGGCTGAGCTGGGACTCCCCCCGCGCGCTCCTGCCTGCAGGTAGAGGCCTCACCAACCCCGTCCCGGTTACAAACTCCACAGCCCCCTCGGCCGGTGTGAAGAGAAGAAACCCGGTCCCCTGCCTGTCCGAATCCCTGCTCCAGCCCCTGCCCCGCCCCTCCTCTGGGCTCAATTCACCGTGGGCCCCTTGCAGGCTGGAGATGCCTGAGTGCCTACTCGAAGAGCCTGTGTTAGTTTTGTCTCAAACCTCAGTGACAGACCTGGGCTGTGGCCCTGGCTTTCCAACGGTCTGGACTTCTTCCATTCCTTGCCTTCTGCAAGGCGAGGTGGCCCCCAGACTTCCCTGTTCCCCTCCCCCTGGAAATTGATGCCAGGGTCCAAGGCAGAGGGCTCCAAAGGGGAAGGCGGCCTGGGAGGTCGGCATCCTCACAACACGCTGCAGAAAACCGGGTCACATGGCTTCTTTTCTCGAAGCCCCTCTGTTCGTATAGGGGGCTTACAGCCAGGGATCGCCGCCTCCTCTCCCTGAAATGGCTTTTCTCTGTTCTCTAGTAGCCATGATTCAAGAGGAAGCACACTGTCACCCTTCCTCCCACCCGGCCATCGGCAGCTTCTCTACAGGAAGGGGACCTTGGGACCTTTGTGTGCCTCGTTACCCCCTGCCATCCTTTGGCCTAGCCTGCTTAGCTCATAGGTCGGATTGTACCGCACCCTCGCTCGGACCCTCCAGTGACTTCCGGGAGCTCCCGGGGGGTCTGTAAACTTGGACTGGGAAAACAATTGCATCTGTATTTTCAGTACCCTATAACTGCAATGTGCATTTCCTGTCTATAAATGAGGACAACAAGCCACAGCGGTGTCAGCCGTTACCTCTGACTCTGTCGTGACAAGAACGCACGGATATTTTCTTTTCACATCCCACCAGCTGCCTACATTTCAAAATATCACATAAGCCCAGGATTATGCAAAGCGACAGTAGTAATTAGACCACTCACCAGATCTGTTATTGAAGCCATAAACAAAGAAACCACATGATGTTAGTTTTTTAATATATCGATGACTCTCAATATAATGGGTTTCCCTAATCAGACGTGCACCCAGGTGGATGAGGACAAGGTGGTGGAGCCATCTGCCCTGGGTCAAGTGGGAAGGGTTTGCATTAGCTAAAGAATCAAAAAACACAGTCAACTGACAATCTGTCTGCTTTCTATTACCACGCTCAGCCGGTACATCTACAATGTCGGTGATAAAATATTCCTTCCTGTCAGGACGGACCACTCCTGTCTCCCTCTCCCCACACCCCACCCTTGATCTTATCTTCACCCACCTCTGTCTCCCATCATTTCCTGATCTCAGCTTTCAGTGTCCCCTCCAAATAGGTGCCCAGCCTGGTAACCCAGTCTGCTGCCCTCCCACCAGTGCCCCCGTCCCCCAGGCAGTCCTGTCACTGTCCGAACCATCCGCTGTCTGGTTGACGGACTGCCGCCTCTTACCAGAAGACAAATCCGCAAGTGCAGACAGGGTCTCCAGTTGTCAAGTGTCTAATCCTAGCACCTTGACAGTCACAGGCAGGGGCTCAGGCTCAGTACGTTCAAAGCCAGGTTTGTGTCTGTCTTGGTTACTTTTCTCCAGTTACTGAGACAAAATACCTGACACCCAAAGTTAAGGAAGGAGAGGTTTATTTAGCTCACAGTTTGTGGCGGTTTCAGTCCGTCATCAGCTGGCTCCAAGGCAGGGTGGCAGGGCTGAGGGGCAACAGTTCATGGCAGTGGAAGACAGCAAAAGCAACAAGAGCAGAAAGGGAGAGAGCAAGCCTCTTTTCCTCCCTTATTCCAAAGCAGGTTACCCCTACCTGGGGGAGTGTAGCACTCACAACATCTCCCTGCCCTCCTCTTGCACAGGATGAGGATGTTTACAAAGTGAGGACCTTGGCCCCCTGCTGAGTTGCTTAAACTTCCTTGAGTTTGCACAGTGTATCAGCCATTACAGTGTCCCTTGAAATCTCCATGGTGGCAGCCAGTTGATCATATACTGTATATTTAATTAGCTTAAAACCATTAAGTTGCTCTGCTTCCTGCCCCCATGCCATGAACTGTTTCTCCTCTGCCATGCCACCGTGCCCTGGAGCCAGCCACCTATAAACTGAAACCTCTACAAACTGGGGCAAAACAGTGTCGTGGGAGTTAAGTACTGCTTTAGGAAAAATTATCACAGTTATCTCTATGCCATATCTAGAGCATGAGTTTTTTGTTTTTTTAACATTTCAAATTCTCTTTCCTTTCAGGAAGTATGAAGTATATGTTTAATCTGTCCAAAGCTTTGAAATGCATTCCTCAGTTTGGTATTGTTCACTGTGATGTTAAACCCAGTAATTTTTTACATAATAGACACCTGAAAAAGAGAGATCTGTAGGTCTCTATGTCCAGGGCTCTGTTTTTGGCGAAAGAAGTTTCCATACACATAGCTCCACTTCGTATGAAACCTCAGAGTGAAACTCGCAAAGCGGTCAAGGTCTGTAGATCTAATAACAAGAAAGCAATGAAAAAGAAGGCTATTTCTACCAAAGTGAGGAATAACACGAGATAAAGAAAACTGCCACTTCTTGCCCAGCTAGCCTGCCCTGCGACTACTGTGCAGCAGATACTGCTAGGCTGTATTTGCCCTTCAAGGGATCTGTAGGATGCCCCTCCGGCAGGCACACCAGGATTCAGGTCTTGACGGAATGGCCCAACCAGACCACAGCCAAGGGCATGTGCTCCGCAGGTGCCCGTTCCTTTCTTTGCGTAGTGGATGATACCAATTTGGAAAGTAAATATAATTTAATGGCTTTGGCTCAAATTATGATAATTTGGGGACGCAGAGAAACCATCCAGGCTGCTAAAGCTTACGGGAAATCAATGTTCTGTAGCAGAGAAGTCCCAGCACAAGACCTGAGGAAACTTTGAGGAAGTCAGAGACTCAGGGTCTAGATTCTAACACCTCCACACTGGCAAGTGGGGTACCGGGGGCTCCTTTTGGGGATTCGGCTTTTTCAGAGAGGACTGACCAGAAGGCTTCTGACATCATACCAACCTTTCAAGCACAGCCTTCAGGAAATACATTATAAAAAGAGGACAGTATTGGCTTTGGGAGTCATTTTGATGAGTATAAGGCCAATCTAGAAGGCTGGGATGAGGTACCTGCTGAAGCTTGCAGTTGATCTGCCTGCTTAATCAGCTTTTAGATCCAAATCCAGCTTTAAGAATAACAGCAGAAGAAGCTGTGTTGCATCCATGTTTTAAAGACATGAACTTGTCATGACAATTCTTCACTTAAATGTCACTGATACGTATTGTGAGGTAGAGTGAAAGAGTTCTTTGTGCCGGGGGTGGTGGCACACGCCTGTGATCCCAGCACTCAGTAGGCTGAAGCAGGAGGATCATTGCGAGTTTGAGGCCAGCCTGGGCTACAAAGGGAGCTCAAGGTCAGCCTGAACTGCATAGCGGGACCCTGTCTCAAAAAAGACAAAAAAAAAAAAATTTTTTTTTAGGTAAAGAAATAATACCTTCTTCTGGAAATATGCAATATACCTTCTATGAACACTAAACGAAGAAATGTTGATCATAGGGCAAAAATTAAAATTACATTTAATTTATCCATTTTTCACAAGTATTTCCTAAAAATTTTGTTTTGCATGGATTGTCTTTTTTTTTTGAGGGGGGAGTCTTTTTGAGACAAAGTCTCCCTATGCAGTTCAGGCTGGGCTTGAGCTCACTTTGTAGTCCAGGCTGGTCTCAAACTCACAACGATCCTCCTGCCTCAGCCTCCCAAAGTGCTGGGATTATAGATGTACGCCACCATGCCCTGTGGATTGTCATTTTTAAAAAAATGTTTCTTCTCTCTCTGCCCCTACTTAACAAGTTTTCCTTGGAAATTATATGGCACCTACCAAAAATTTTCAGTGTGCTGTACTAAATGTTACAGATGTTTACAGTTGGGAATTTAAAACAGTAACAATCACACTGTCTGATAAGGGGAAGCTTTCAGGACCAAGGTAAATATTAATAGTCCAAAATACTTCTGTCTTTCTATTTTTATTATTCACATTTCCAGCATCTTAATTTTGATTAGATAGCTACTGAAAGGAAAAGTGAACATAGAATTGAAAATTTTATGGAGACTTTCCTCTGCCTAAGAGCCATCCAAATTTCTATCCTGTTTTGACTAAGTTGATCTTCCCGAGAAGAATGATTCCTGACGTCGTAGGTGTGTTGGGAGGACATCGGTGAAGAATGCACAGCAGAAAGGGACCTAGGGTGGACGTGTATGTTACTCATATTCCAAAATGATCGGTGACGGTACGCTACGAGACTCCCTGTGGAAAATACATCCGGGAGAAGTTTCCTATTTAGCAGTTGTAGCTTATAGAAATAACTTAGGGACAAACATTCACATTGCTAGTTTGAGCTTTGGTATGTCAGTCTGTCTACCTAACCTTTGGTAAGTGTAGGGTATAACGCTGTACACGTGCGTGTGGCATCTGCACACTATTGCCGTTGAGCTGATGTCTTATGTGGTAATCCTTTTTATTTTTATTTTTTTCTGGTACCAGGAATCGAACTCACAACCTTGCCAGGCAGGCGCTGTGCCGCTGAGCTAAATCCCCAGCCCCTGTGGTAATCCTTTTTAAAAAACTTGAATATTCTTGAATTTGTATGTTTAATAAAATTATCACTTTATACTTTAAAAAACCCATGAAGTTGCTCCTTCAAAGCCTAGGAGTATATACTCAGCCTAGGAAGATGTACTCAGCTATAAAATCTAGGTACATACAGCGAGTGGATAATGCACCTGTGACAGTGAAGGAAGAAAGAAACTTTTCAAAATATAATTCATAGGTCAGAAAATGGCACCAGATCAGTCCCCTTTTTTGGTGTTTATCATTTTGGAGAAAGCAGCAGAAAGTATGACTCATAAAGCTTTCAACAGTAAGCGCGATCTGTATCTCTTGGAATAAGAAGTACAGAAGTTGGGGCTGGAGGTGCTGAGTGTTAGAGCTGCTTAGCGCCCACAGGGCCCTTGACTCCATTCCCAGCCTGGGGCAGGGGAGGGCAACAAAGATCTACCTCAGTAGTTCTTTGACTCATGACTGGCTGACTCAGTTATTGCAACCTGTGTGGTTGCAAGATGGCTGCCAGTAGCCGCCCGGGCCGTGCGTTTCCATTTACTAGAAAACAAGTCCTTCTCTTTAGTGGGATTGGGTGTTTGGTCCCATGTGCGTCCTTAGGCCAGTAACAGCCCCAGAGGAATGCCATGTAGATCAATTCAAACAGTGCAGTAGGCTGAGAGGGGTGAATATTTACAGAAAGTATAAATAAAGGGTCCGATCAAGAAGGGGAAGGGGCCACATGTGGTGGTGCATGCCTGTAATCCCAGCACTCGGGAGGCTGAGGCAGGAGGATCATTGCAAGTTCGAGACCAGCCTGGGCTACAAAGTGAGCTCGTGGTCAGCCTGAACTGCACAGAGAGACCCTGTCTCAAAAAGACAAAAAAAAAGGTGTGTGTGGGAGAGTAGATAAGTAGGAAAGTGATCCACTGTTTACTGTAGATATAGCTTGTTTTAAACTCAAGTTTCTCTTTGTTTACGGTGAGGAATAACCACTGAAATGTCTTCTGCCGAGAATAGTTCTAATCTTTTTACTTTTTTATGTTTTCAAATATGTGGCACTTTTTTCTTCTAGAAAAAAAAAGTTTTAAATTATTGCCTTTATCTTGACCATGATATCAGTGAGTGACCCGGCAGCTAAGAAATATGGCCTGTGGCTGCAGACTGCAGCTTCTGTAACAGGCTTCGGTCTCTGTAGTCAGCGTTAATGGGCAAGTGTGAATCAGAGATTTGGGAAGGCTCTAATATAAATTTCCAACGAAACAGCATCGCTTAGACCTCACTTACATTATGCAGAGCACGTCGCCTGGTCTTGGAAGTCAGAACAAGGCCTCTGCCTAGCTCTGGAAAGCCTGTTGAAGTTTTTGTTTAATTTTCATTTTATTGCAGCAGAAGCATCAGCACTGGCTTGATGAATGCTATAAAGAAAAAAGAAAAACTCAAGATGGAATAGAATTTGGCTCCTTTTGCAACAATTATAAAACAATTACACAAGTGGTACAAGTCAATAGGCGCTGTAGAAAGGTCTGGAAAGAACTGCTTGTGCTTCTGCAGCATCGGGTAGGGGCTCCCCAAGTGTGGAGGGAGAGTTTTGGGGTTGGGACTTGGTGCAGTATTGGGGAGCTGTGAAAGCGGAGCTTGTGGGAACTTGAGGCATATCTGTACAGAGAATGTGTGTTTGCGAATTACTAGTGTAACAAAACATTGATAAAGGCAGGGTCAGTTTATCAGCGATAAATAGACGAGTGAAATTGCAGTTCCTCTGTGTGAAGACTTAAGACTCCTTTGGTCTCATGTCGGCTCTGGAAGCCACGGGGTTAAAGGGCTAAAGACAAGGATTTCTAAAAATGCTGAGTTATTATCCGTCCAGACAGATATGAAACACAGGTCATTTCCTTTCTCTTTATCCGCTCCCTCCCTTGTTACCCTCCGCTTCCTCTCTGTCCCTGAGCTACGGCGCACTTTATGTGGCGTGGTGCCTTCCGATGGTGCCACCCCT